GGATTTTGTCAAGTTTCTGTACCTATTACAATGACCATGTGGCTTTTGTCCTTTATCTTATTAATATGATTACACTGACTGATTTTCATTTGTTCAACAACCTTGTATTCCTGAGATAAATCCCACTTGATGAAGGTATATAATCCTTTTTATATGTTTTATATGTTTTTATATATTGCTAGAACTACATCCATAAAGGATCTTGGTCAACAATTGAGTATTCTTGTGATGTCTTTGTCTGGTTTGGTTACAGGGTAATTCTGATCTCATAGAATGAGTTGGAAAGTATTCTCTTCTCTTGTATTTTTTTGTAATAGTTTATAAATGATTAGTTAATTCTTCTTCAAACATTTAAGAGAATTCACCAGTGAAGCTGCCTGGAATGGCCTTTTCTTTATGGAAAGTTTTGTGATTATTTATTCAATCTCTATTTGTTGTAGGTCTATATGATTTTCTATTTCTTCTTGAATCAGTTTCAGTAGTTTGTATCTGCCTAGGAATTTTTCCATTTCATCTAGGTTATCTAATTTGTTGGCATACAGTTGTTTATAGAATTCTCTTATACCATTTATTTTATTTTATTTTTTTTGTAAGATTGGTGGTAACGTCCCTACTTTCATTCCTTTTTTTTTCTTGGTTAGTCTAAGTTAAGGTTTGTCGATCTGTGGATTTTAAGAAAACCAACTTATGGTTTTATTGACATCCTCGTTTGCTTTTCTATATTCTGTTTTTCCACTCTATATTATTTCTGTAATTCTGCTGCTTGGACTCAGTTTGCTCTTCTTTTTCTAGTTTAAGGTGGAAGATTAGGTTATTGACTTGGAATCTTTTAAAAAATATATAAACATTTACAGCTATAAATTTCCTTCTAAGTATTGCTTTAGCTGCATCTCATATGTTTCACTATGTTGTGTTTTCATTTTCATTCATCTCAAAGTATTTTCTAAATTTCCTTGTGATTTCTTCTGTGACCTATTTGTTATTTAGGAATATGTTGTTTAATTTTCACATTTGTGAATTTCACAAATTTCCTTCTGTTTTCTATTTCAGAGAACATATACTGTATCATTTTAACATTTTCAAATTTATTGAGGCTTGTTTTATGGCCTACCATATGGTCTATCCTGGAGAATGTTCCATGTATACTTGAGAAGAAAGTGTATTCTACTGTTTTTGGGTGGAATGTTGTACAGATGTCTATTATATACAGTTGATTTTCCTTGCTTCTCTTACAGCAGAAGCAGGGCTGATACCTCAGATGATACTTTAATACTCCACTACCACCTAGTCTTGTCTCTGAGGCCAAGAAGCTATTCATGATCATCGTCATCACCATCATCAATCAATACTTATATAGCATATTGTCCGTGCCAGGCACTCTACATAAAATCACTCAATTAATCCCATCACAGGCTCACCTTTGTACCCCAAGTAGCTGTTCCTCAGTATAAGTGGTGCTCCCCTCACCCTGCCGGGTCTGGTTCCACTCATTCTCAGGCTTCTTTTCCTTTTGCGCCTTCATGCAGTTACAGCAACCACAGGGGTCATGACTTTCAGGAGGTCTGTCTTCTGGGTATTTGTTTCTTCTAATTGCATCAATGTAAGCTGCAAAGCAACAGCCCCTCCATTATGCCTCAGTCTGACCTGCAAATCAACTTTGCTACCTGCCTTAGCTACCTAGGAGGCTGCTTGTATGCATGAGCAGGTGAGTGTAAGGGCCAGACTACAGACGTTATGCTGACTTTGAAGCATCCATATGAAACTAAACAAACATCTTCTTTGAAAAAACAATACAAAAAATATGGAGGCAACCACAAAAAGCTTATAATGCCAGAAACGTGAAGCATAATAGTGTCCTCCAGAAAAGAGGCTCAAGAGGCATCTGCCCAATACTTTGCCTTTAGTGCAGTGCAGGGAAACCTAGATCTCTGTGGTCCATGGTCAGAAGTGACATTGCTCAAAAAATAATATTTTTTGTTGCATTGCCTCCCATCACTAAGATTTAAAGTAGAGGCGAGTTCAGTTCTTTTAAACTAATAGTTATAGAACTAATATGTACAAGACACTTGGTTATATAGATCAAGGAGTGTATGGATAAGACCTACTACTGACCACAGAGAGGTTATACTTTAAAGGGAGAAGATTCAATTAATCATAATGCTTGCAAAATGTAAAGAGGGACATAGCAATCCACTCAGAGAAGGTACAGTACTCATGCCCTATCTGGAGGATATGGAAAAGGCTTTAAAAACATCTTTATTTTGCTTAACATCCCTTAGTGACTATCCACTGCTCCTTGTCCAAATTTCTTATTATGGACCCAGCCTGACTCTCTAGCCTCATCTCTTACCACATACTCCTTTATAGTCTATGCTCAAGCCACACCAAACTGCTTTCAGATCAGCAATGCTTTCTTTTCCCTGTGCCTTTGCACATGCTGTTCCTTCGGCCTGCAACATTCTTCCTCTGAGTCAGCCTAACTGCAATGCATCCTTTATGTAATCAAAGGTAACACTTTCTCCATAAGGCATTCTCTGACACCCAGGCTGTGTTGGGTGCATTGTGTGTTTCCCAAACATACGACCTTGCTGTGTTTAGTCCAGCACTTTAGCCTGTGTTGTAACTGGCTGTTTACCTGTCAAACTCCCTCAGTGAATAGAGAGTTCTGTGAGCTCAGGGGCCCCAAGTCTGTCAATCCCTGCTGCAGGATCAGCATAATGCAGGGTACATAATAGGTATTGGATCAATACTCTTTGCCTGACTGTAGGATGGGAAAGGCCGGCCTATCGGTCCTGATGCAAGCTGAAAGGACAAGACCAAACCAAGACAGAAGGTCAGGCGGCCCGGTTTGTCAGCGAAGATAAGGGCCAGGAAAGCAAGCTGCGGGAGACCACACCACCCCGTTGACCCCCAAGCCACCCTGGCGCGGGCGGGGCCTGACTGCCGCGGGGCCCTGGGCGGGGCACCGGCCGGGGCGGGGCTGGGGGCCGGAGGCAACAAGTCTTCATGGGTGACACTGGGCTCTCGGCGTGTTCCTCTGCTTAAGCCAGCTCTCCTGTTTTCTGGATCCCAGCCCCTGGTTCGGTTCCCCACCTCATCTGGATCCCTACTTAGGCTCAGCATCGTCTTATAGGCCTCCATCCTTCACCTCAGGCCCAGCATCTCAGTCCTCCCGGGCCTTCAAGAGCCCCAACTCTGATCTCTGCCGAACCCCGCTCAGTCCGACCCTCTGCCCAGGACCTAGTACCTTGCGTCCAGCGCTCCCCGCTGCCCAGAGTTGTTGCCATATCTGTTCCTAGTCAGCAGGTCAGCCGAGCCTCTCTTGCGCCTGAGGCTGAAAGAGATGGGGGCAAGAAGCGCTGGGCATGCTGGTCATTGTAGTCCAAGTCTAGGGAGCTGCGGGACATTTGAACTACAACTCCCGGCAGGCTCCGCGCGAGGGGACCCATCGGGGATGCAGGGGAGTAAGGGGCTCGACCCTTGGAAGCGAGCCTTGTGGAGGTGCGTTGTTGCTAGTAAACTGCGGCGCGGTTAGTGGCTCACAGCAGGAAACCGTGGCCGCTTTTCCTAATCTGTAGAGTAGGGAGAGTGGCTTCTCTCCAGCTTAACACTGGAGACATTCAAGAAGGCGCAATAAGATCCTGCCTGGAAAGACTTTGCAAACTATAGTCTAGAGGTTGACAATATGACTCTTTCTCCTCAGGATGTCGTTTTAAAATATATGATAATGCCTGCTAGAGATTCAGAGACAGGTTTTGGAGATGAACCAAACCCTGGGAAAAAGAGCCACGAAAAGTAGAAAAGTGGCGTAGATTTGTGTGTTTAGAGGGCAGTCAGGGTATGCCCCTCCTCCCCCAACTTTTTAGGCGCAGTGTCATTAGAGGGACCGCTATAGGTCGGGGGTAGAGAAAGAAGAAGAGGGCTGGTACATATTGGAGCCGGCATTAGAGCTCCTTCCTATCTTTGCTGTTCCTTATCCTTCATCCTGTCCTACTCCAGGGCCCTTCTGAGACTTTTCTCCTCTTTTCCACCCCAGTCATTTTCTTGGCCCATTCCCTTCTTTTCTGAAGGACCAGGACTAAGAGATTAATAAAAAGGAAATGAAGAAATACTCCTGCTTTCCTCTACTTAGGTTTGCGTGGAAACTTTTAGCAAAGAATAAAAGCAATTCTTCATAGGTGGCTGGGTACAGTGTCCTTACTGACTCATTCCTGCAGATGAGTTGGATGGCCAAAGATCAGACATGCAAAAGTGAAAAATGATCGTGTTCATCCCCAAACAAAAAATTACCTAGAATTCATTGAGTTCTTACCCAGGAAGACCAAATCAGTTATGCCAATTATGGTATCAAGCAGTAGCTACTTAGGCAGTTGGAGTGGAGAGGGGAGATATATAGCCATAGACACAAGCTGAAAGGGTACAAGCCTTCAATGGTATGCAGTTCCATCCCTTCCCTGTAGTCATGGCCCTGGGATATATGAGTATCATTGTGCTCACAGAAGGCTGAGTGGTTTTGGAAGACTAGACATACTGCTCTAGAAAATGGAAAGGGAAAGGTGGGGTGTGCCTTGGAGTCTAGGGGCACAGGGCTAAGGTCTGGAGGTACTCAGAAATGTCATAGTGCTGTAAAGTTAGAGGTATCTGGTTGAGAGTGTGATGTCTAGAGCATTGTAGTGGGTAATTTGATTTAAAAGGGTCACTATGAATTATGGGGCTACTTAGGAATAGAGTCCAGGTTCAAGAACGCTGGACAAGATTTGGGAAATTGGGGCCTCTTGAAAATGTCTGGTACCTCAACAACTTTTCCCATCATCCCCTGAAACTTCACTTTTCTTTTCTAGACAACTCGTTTACTCTTAAACCAGTAAAAACAAAAACAAAAACAAAAACTTTCAGCATTGTAACCTACTCAGATATTGCCATGTAAATGTACCCTTCAGCTCATTTACACCTCAAGGAACACTTATGGATGAATTTTTCTATGACTCTATCACCAGGACTAACTTAGAACTCTAAACCTCAACATTTAGAACACTTCTGTGCCAGTTTTTGTTTAAGCACATCAAGAAAAATATTTCCTACTGTCAAATTCAGTCTCTATGTTTGGTAAAAAGGAAGCTGCGGGCTCAAAGTGTTCAGGATGGTGGTCAGGAGAAAGTAACTCACAAGATGAGAGAGCAACTTGGAAGGAAATAAGGGAAGGGAAATTGGGATCTCTAAGGCAGTTCTCAAAGATAAGGAGGCAGGTATAGAAAGAAGTTCAAAGAGGTGAGAAAGGACATCCACAAATCCTGGAGAGACTGCTGAGTAGAGAGCCACACAATGTTTTACAGCAGATTCAAGTAGAGTTAAGTAGTACTAGCTTGGCTTTGGAAAATTGTGTGCAAGAACTGGGCCAAGAGCCTGCCGTGATTCTTTGTCCACTAAACACTTTACCTAGAGCCAGCCTCAGATCTGTTAGTTTTCTCTACTTACTTTTAGAAATACTTGTTAAACTGTAGTGAATTTTTGCTGATGATACTTAGGTTTGCTCTGTGCCCTATATGATTGAGAAGCTGCCCCACCCACCTCTGGAAGAAACATACTGAGTAAATGATCCCTCTGTCCAGCTGGGCCTGTGCACCTTAGCTGGTTTGCTGGTTGCTCTCCCATAGGAGCGGGGTGGGGGGTGGAGGGTGGGAGTGGGGAGTAAGAGAAAGACACTCTACAGCAACCATCCTATCCTGCCCCACCTGCCACACCTGTTCCTGCTTTGGGGCCATGTAGTCCTGAGTCAGAACAAGGAGGAAGCTGTCTTGTAAATGGTTACCATCCTGTTGTCTAGACATCAAAGAAAAGGTTTGATCTCAGGGAAGATTCAAGGGCTGCAGAAGGCTGCACTCGGATTTCCTGTCAGAGGTGGGGTCTTATATTTGCATAAATAGTAGGATCCTCCATCAGAACCCCCTTTCACATAGTTTGCCAGAGAGCAGAATTCAGCATTTAGTGAATTCATCTTCAACCCCTTCCCAAAGCATAGTTATTTAGCAACCAGAAAATCAACATTGCTAATATGGTACTGCAGTGTCATTCTCAGGGTAAGGGACTTTAAATTTCATATTAATACCAGTTTACCCGCTCTCCCACACATATAAATACCTATGACTAACAGCTTGTATTTGTAGGACATTGTCCAGAGTCAGGAGAAGTTCGTGGCCTTATACTGGAGACGCCAACTGAGTTACCTAGAATGAAACCCATGTCCTTGAACTAATTAGTCCAGTGTGATGAGCAGTTGAACTTAGTGCCCATGGCAGTCAGAATAACAATTAAAACAGAACCCGGTATTTCTAGACATTGTTATGTCACCTGGCCTGTGGAGTTCTATCCCAATAATGAATTTTTGTACTGGAACTGGCTAAGAAATCATGTGCTTTTTTGCAGTGTGACTTAAATAAAATATGCATCTCAATTATTTTTTTGAAATGCCGTAGTAGTGCTGTCATAGGTCGGGTGATCCAGGAAACAGACTCTGAGACGCTGAGATTTGTATGTTGAAGCTTTATTGGTGAGTGCTCCCGGGAACACCAGCTGTGAGTCATAGGGGAAGCAGGATTGGGACAGAGGGAGTAATTGAGGCAAGAGGTCCGGGTCTTCATCCCCTACCCCACCCCCATCAACCAGTCATCAACCAGCTATATGAGTCCTCAGCAGCAGCTGGGGAACAAGTGCCTTGATCCTGAAGAGGGACCTAGGTAGTAGTACACGTTTTCTGCTACAATTGTTAATTAGTACTTTTACTTCCTAAGTATCTCTGCATTTACTATTCCATTTTACCTTTCAAATAGCTAAGTGAGGTAGACGGGGCCAGGTAGGGATTATTCTTCCTGTTATACACATTAATACATGGGGAAATCTAAGTCCAGAGAATGTAAAAGACTTGCCCAGAGTCACCTAAGACTTGACTCTGGCTCCCACACAGAGCACTCTCTACTTAAAAGATTGTTCTTTTTTTTACTACATCTAGAGTTTATATAACTATAGAATATAAGAACCAGAAAAGACAGTGAAAGCAAATAGTCCAACTATCTCACTTTAAAAGTAAGAAAACAGGCTCAGAGATGGGTAGTGATTTTTCCAAAATCAAGCCGCGAGTCTGTGTCAGAGCCTGGCCTTATGATTATATTTCCTGCACTCAAGAGCCAGTGTTCATGACCTCTGATATGCTGGGCATGGTGTACCACATAGGAGCTACAGACCTGAGATTATGGGCCCTGCCCTAGAGGATTTTAGAATCCAGTAGGTTTCTTCAGTCTACTTGAATTGTTTCAATGAGACAGAGAGAGTAAAATTTTTTGTTCTAAGCTTTCTCTCTTATGGCACCTTGCAGAATCTAAATCCAGAAGAAAATAGCATATTGTAGCTTCAGAATGGGTAATCTCTGTTCTCCCTGTATTCTAAACTGCCAGCTAGCAGGTGCTTATAAAGTTAAACACTCCATGCACACATACACTGATGCCTCTTCCATTGACTGTCCCCAACCAGTATTCATTTCCAAACCAGTGTCGTGGTAGACATTACCAAGAAATAGATAACTGCTTTCTTTTCCTTCTTCTCTTTAAATGACTTTATAGTATTTGTGATTCTTTATTCTTTTTCTAAGACACAAAGATAATGGTTGTATGGAGTAAAGTGAGTGGGTCTCTCGTTTATGAAGTCACAGACCTATCCTTTCTCCAGACCTTTCCAGCATTATCCCAACAGCAAGGACCACTGCAAGGTATGTCTACCCGGGGGCAGGCAGAGGACATTTGCCCTCGTAGTATTCAGCTCTCACCACTCCAGTTTCCTATCAGAATGCATTGTGCCTCCTGTTCTCACTCTTCAAATTTAAAACTTCTTTACTGGTGACGACTGGTCATTGTTTACAGCTCCTTTTTTCTCCTCTCATTCCTATTTAATAAACCAGGTGAACCGAGTCAGGCCTTACAAAAAGTTCTCTCCACCTCCCAGGTCTCTGAGAGAGCTTTCCACAGGGGCAGAGACTTGCATACATGCCTTGCCTAGAAAAAGAGTCCCTAAAGCTGCTAGAAGACTGTTAAGAAATACACATAGGAACATAGACCGTGAAAGAAATGAGACTGCAGGCCAGAAAATAATTTTAATGCAAAGTAGAAAGGACCAATCCACCTTGTCATTTTTCCTTGCTCCAGCTCTATAGACTCCTCCTTCCTGTGACTTTGAGAAGGTAGGAGGAGCAGGTCGTGTTTCTAGAGTGGCTGTCCATATGGGCAAGAGTCTCTCATGTTGGTAGTTTGCTCCCAGATCTAGAGGAATGCTAGTGTCCTTTAGATCTGGGAGTAGATGTGAAATAATAAAATAATTTATATGTGGTTCATTGCCTCTCCTGATCCCATCGCCTTCCTCCTAATAGTCACAGGGCAGCCATATCATCCTCGGACTCGTGGGGACCCCAGATCACTTTTAAAGAACCTGTGAAATAAATACATAATGAGGAAGGGTGAACTTCTTGGGAATGGTAGTGTAGGAAAGGGGAGAGAAGAGCCTGGGTCTTTGAAAGTATCTCCTTTCCAGATAAGGAGCAAAAGCCTAAAGAGAGGAGGAGATGGAAAGTTGGAGGGAACCAGGAAAAATGCACCTTCTCTGCTGAGGGACATCCTTTGCTGTTATTCATGTTGATATTCTTCATGGAGATGAGGGTGATGCTGTCTTTCTCTCCATTGGCTGTCGAGCAGCTAGGGATAGGAAGGGAGAACATGGGTTATGGAGAAGATGAGTGGGAGAGCAATGTAGGGGTCAAGGAACTGTGGTAGGGTTGTCGAAATTTAGACCTTTGTTTTGATAAACCTATATTTTTGTGGTGGAACGTAATGGAATGAGAGTATGCTTTGAGGCCCCAAAGACTTGTATTTAAATCTTTATTTTACTACCTACTACTTGTGTGATTTTGACCAAGTTACAACCTGGTCTTTTAAGTCTTGGTTTTTAAATGTATAAAATGCAGTAAGATCTGCCTTGAAGAATTGCTCTAAGAATTTGAGATAATATTACAAGATATCTACCACAGGGCTTGGCACATACAGGGTATTCAATAAGTGGTTCCTTAAATAAATATCTTCTTATTTAAGGAGTATATTAGAGTCTAAATTTCTACACTTTTCATGAAGCGGTTATAGGGGCTTAGCTTTGGGACTTAAGAGTTCCAGTCCCTCTCCCGTCAACTGATTGCTTCCTTTCAGGTACCCCCGCTATCCTGGCCACCCCTAGCCCTGGCCTCAGTGGAGGGTGTCAGGATTCCCTGAGTGTGTAGAAGGCAGGAAGTGTTGATTCTCTTTTGGAATGGGTGACTGAGAGGTCAGTCCTGCTACACCTCTGACAGTCTTACCTTTCAGATAGCCCTGAACTCCCAGGTTTCTGGGGATCTGTAAAAATCCAAAGGCACAGATTGGGAGTCACATACTATAACTGGGAAGCCCAACTCGCCCCTCAAAACCCACCCAAGTGGGCCCTCCCACTTTATCTAGTGGTGCTGATGTGCCATTCTTTCCCTCAACTCTAGGCTGGGTGTCAGTCCTAGAATCTAGCTCTGGATTCCTCAGCAGAGAGGGGCAAAGGGGAGCCCTGAGGTCCAGGCATGTACCTTCAGACTCTTTGTTCTTCCGACACTTAAACCTTAGACTGACCACACTGACTAGGACGATCACCACAACCACCAGGATGACAATGAAGCTGATAACACCTGAACAGGGAAAAGGATGGGGTGAAGGGGAGGTAGAAGAGGGGATAAAGAGGGTAACAGGAGTTCAAATTCTCTTCCCAGATAAGTGCTGTGTAGATAGGTTCCAGAGCAAATTAAACCCCCCTTCTCTGCGGAGTGAATGAGTTCCCAGCCTGCTGCCCTGGCCAGAGTGGGCTCTGCAGCCCTGCCCCATCCTCTCATAAGAACATGGAAACCCAGAAGAGCCCAAAAGAACTGACCAGAAAGTCAGTTCTTTCCTACCAGAGCCTTCTTCATCAGCCAAACCCTCCTAGCACAAATGGGTGAGATTTCTAGACCCAGAATTTAAGTCAGTTCAGAGGTGGGATCCCTGCCATGCCCCGCCTTCTCTTCCCTCTCACCAAATGCGGCCACAGTGAGCACCGTCTCTGATGTAGGGCTGGCCAAGATGGTGGAGTCTTCTCTTGTTCTCAGGCTCATGGTGGCTGATTTGGGAGTAACATTTTGAGAGGTGCCTAAAATGAAGTGGGATGGGTGCATCAGAGAAGGGACTGACACAACCTATCAGACAGAGCTAGTTCCCCTCAAGCTTCTACCAGGTAAAGAACTGCAGAGAACTCATGTTTCTACCCTGCCCCTCCAACCAGATCCCATGAGGATGGATGTCGGACATGAGTGACATGGGATCACGTGACTAGCATTACTTGTTGCTCGTGTTACTATTTAAAGAGGACTCCGGAAAGTTCAGGATGCTTCCCTCCTTGTGCTCTTCTCACCACCCCCTTGGAGCCCATAGGAAAGAGATTTATGCTGCGGAGATAGGGAGTCCCTGGGCAAGGTAGGGCCATCTGTTTCACCAAGGGTCTAAGTGAGAGGGAAGAAGGACACTAGATGTTTGTCCCTAGGCACTGATCTAACGAGCCAGACTGCTAGCTAAGGGGCACAGTTTCTGGCCCTCTTAAAAAGTGGTTTGGTCATGCATCTCTTCCCCTCTTCAACTCGTACTGCAGGCCTGATTGCTGTTTCATTTCCTTGACCTCATGCCCCTCCCAAATAAGTCTGGGAGTATAAATAAATCCCAGAGCCAAAGGGTAGGATGAGAGGAAGGGTCAAGTGCTGTTCGTTGTGAGCACAGACAGGACATAACTCTGCCTGTGCTGCCACTGCTGCTGCCCCTGCTTGGGACACCTGTACTTGTGCCATGAAACAGCAGGGCCAAGATGGAGGGTATCTACCCCCACTTAGCTCTTCTCCCAGGCTGCTGGGTGAAGGCCAGCCTACCCTGAGAAGCATGTAGCCCTTCCTTAACCTTTCTGTCTTCCTTTCCATCATTTTGGATTCTCCTAACCCTCCCTTTCCCTCTCTGTGCCTTTATGAGTCCCGAGTCCAGGCTCTTTCTACCTTCATTGTGACCAAGCCCAAGTCCTTGTCTCTACTCCCCACCAAACCTCTCTCATTGTCTCTCAAACCAGGTTGCTGCCGATTTGAATCCTGGTCTTGAGACCCCTCATTGTCGGGCAGGACCCTGAAGAGGAGAAGCAACCCAGCCAGACATGACCCAGTGTTTTTCACTGCCAGCCGCAGGTACTCACCAAGTCCTGATGTGTGCTGCTGTGGCTGGGGCCGAGTCAGGCCCAGCAAGAACGGGGAGTGATCATCCATGGTGCTTGACCTTGGCATCATGGGTTTATTGGCTACCATGGGGACCTGCGAGGCCTTCTCTGGAGTGGCTATGGGTTAGGAAGCAGCCAGGGGCCTGCTTAGGGCTTCAGCCAGCATGTGCACAGAGAGGGCTCTTTAGTCCAAAATCATCCTTTTCGTTACTGCTTTTAATTCCAGAAGAGGAATTAATTCCTCTCTTTTACCTCTGGGCCTTTACCTGTGCAGTTCCCTCTGTCTGGAATATACCCTGCCACCCTCTACCCCACAATCTTCATCTGGTTGACTCCTTCTTGGGCCTCGGTTTCAGCACTCAGTCACTCTGGGATGTCCTTCCTGGCCCCCAAGTCTGAAATGGTTAACATTTGTCTGGATTCCTACAGCACCTTCTGCTTATGCCCAACACCACCCTTCTTACCTTGCTTTTTACTTGTCAATGTGACATCCTCTTTACTTGCCTGTTTCCCTACTAGTCTATATTCTCCTTTAGAGCAGAAACTGTGTCTGCTTCCTCATTGGGCCCTCCCTGGATGGCATTTGTAGTCTGAGTGGCAGAGTACCTGGGGTACCAGTGCTGGACAGAGGGCTTGGGCTGTTGGGCTCTGAGGAAGGGCTGTCCCCTGAAAAGACAGAGGCAGAGGGGGAGTTGGAGGTGGAGCAGGTTTGGTGACACCACACTCCCTCACCCACATGAGAATGCTTGGGCTCTAGGTAAGCCTGAGGGGCTGGGCAGAGGGCTGGGGAGGGGGCAGGGATAGGCCCTTTGGCAACCACACTCACCTGTGCTGGGAGAAGTTGGCTCTGTGGTCAGACTTGAACTGAAGGCTCCTGGAACAGATCATCTGAGGCTGAGGGTTTGCTGCCTCCTATTGTTCTATCTTCCTCTCTCCTTCCCTGTAGCTGGTGTTTTCTAGTATTTCTTCCTATCCCACCTTCCACCTGCAGCCATTCATCTTTCTCCTCTTTCAAGCCATGTTAGACTAGCCAAGCTGAAAAATGTCCCTAGGTGAGCTCAGCCTTAGATGTCCTGAGAGCTCTGGCCCAGCCCTAATCAGTGCAAAACGGCTGAGAGCTCCTCTCCTTCTTAAGCTCCCAGACCTAAATGGTGGAGGAGGCCTGTGCGTTTGGTCTTACCTTGAGAGTTAGAGGGCTGCTCTGTTGTGAGCTGGTAGGTGTGGCCTGCAAGAGAAAGCAAAGCACTGCAGACTAGCTTCGTGAGTCTCCGCCCTGCACAGAGCCCACAGAAGAACCCAGGTCTTTTGGCTTTCTCAGCCTCCTGTGCTAACAGAGGACTAAAGGATGTGTCTGCAGCTCACAGGTCTGTCTTCCTCTGAGACTGTGACTGAATAGCACCATTACCACCACCTCATGATCCAGTGTCCTAGAGCCCTTTCCTGTCTCTTCAATATCACATGGGTTTTATATCAACCTGACACAGGTCAGGGGAAGATTATTTCAAACTAGTGATATATTCAAGGACAGAGGGCCAGTGACCTGCCAAGTCCATACAAGGACTCCAGGTGTCTAGGCTAATGTTCTCTCTATATTAGCATTGAGCTATCCATTTTCCCCTGTGAATATTGTACTCCTGACCCCGCCCCAAGGGAAGAGATGGAAAGATGTGGTGAATAAGATGGAGTTAGGAATAGGGGTTGATATCTGGACTTTCTCTCTGTCCTCCTCCAGCTGGAGGTAGGGCCCTACACAGGGAGCAACTTCTGAGCTATATGCAGGAGGCAGGGAAACTCTAGAATGAGTGACCAATTTATTCTCATAGACAGAGGCTACTCAGAAATGGTCGTTGTTGGCCAAACCCAGGGAGGAGTCAGTTACTAGAAGGCCCCAGTGAGAAGCCCTCATTAGATTTTTTTGTAAGTGCATGTGTATGCCTGCTGACCTGCATGCAGATATGTGTGTGTGTGTGTGTGTGTGTGCTTGTGTGCCCATATATGTGTCCCCTGTGTGTGTGGGACCTCAAAGGTCGGGTTGTGTTTGCTCATTTTCCACAATGAAATCATTCTTGAAACCTGTGAACAATGTGAAAGGAAAACAACGTGGGGAAGTGGAGCCGCCCAGCTGGGTTCCCGTCCTTCCACTCTAGCTGGGACCTCAGCCACTGGCCTGGCCCTCCTGCTCCCTCGGCCCCTCATCATCAGGGAAGCACCAAACCTGATCGGGATAAACGGAGGCCAGGGGCCAACCCAGCCTGTGGCAGCCTGCTGGTCTGTTTATTTTCTTTAGCCATTGCCTTCCTCCATGCGGCTATCACTTGGATAGTGTAGAATTAATTGTTTCCAAGCCCCAGCTTGCCCAGACCCTGGACCACGTTTTTTCAGGTTACCATCTCTGGTAACCCCATTCCCTCATTGGGTGGGTGGTCAAAAGGGGAGTTTAAACTTATAAGGGACCCAAACTAGAGAATGATCCTTTCAATCCAAGATATGTCCTGAAAACATCTGTCAGTTATTGATCAAGCATATCTAAGGTACTGTCTAAGCTCCATAAGGTTATAACTTTAGTTTTTAGTGGGAGGGCACAGTGCACTGCCTTCCTGCATTTATTTAGAAACAAAACTAGTGTCTTAAAAGGAATTCTAAAGTCACAAGCTCCAAACCCCAGTAGCCTACTCTTTGTCTTCTGCTCCCTCCCGCTACTGGAACTTTTTGACACCAGTATATTCCTCTGTGAGCAGAGGAGAGATTTAGGGAGCATCTGTTCCTATAGACTGGGTGTCTCTGACCACTGGGCACGCAGATACCCAAAGAACGTTGGCCAACGGCATTTCTTATTTTCCTGTCTCTCCTCTCTAATCTCTACCTGCTTTATTTGTGTCTAGCCTCTCTCTCCTTCCCCCTCCATCACCACAACCACCCAATTTTCCTCAGCAGCATAATTTAGTAATTAAAATCATGGATTTTGGAGTCTGATAGGCTCAAGTTCAAATCCTAACTCTGTCACTTACTGACCTGGGCCTTAGTTTTCTCTTCCTTAAAATGCAAGTGATTTTAGTACCCCATAAGTGGTTGTGAGGAAAAGAAAATGCATATAAAGTACTTATTTCAGTGCCTGACAGATAGTACACACTCAATAAATGCTAGACATTTAAATTTTTGCGCCATTCTCTCAAATCCTCCGTCTCAAGTCTGCCCTGACTTTGTATATCCATTGTCAAGTCCCTTCGTGGGAGTAAATATCCTCAAAAGGATTTCTCAGCCCACCGAAATGAAGGAGATGATAAATGCCCTGAGATATTAGGGTGAGAAGTTAGGAAACTCAAGCAGTGAGCATGGCTTAGGTAGCGTTTACAGGGGGGCATTCCTAGCCCTGGCACTTGCCCACGACAGGGCAGTGAGTAGGAAAGCTGGGAGAAGCCTAGACCTGTGAAAATTCTACCTCATGAGTCTCACCTTTAATCTCTGCCATTTCTGCAGTTTCTACAACAGCCTGGTCCCCCAGCCCCAGATCAAATATGTGACTCTCTCCTCCTGGAAGAGGAGGTGGTAGTGGGATGAGGGTGATCAGAGTTTTACTTCCAGCCCATGGACTTTTAGAGAAATATCTGACTCCTCCAGGAGGCAGAGTCTTCTGGTACTCAGGCCATCTCACCTATCATCAAAAAAGATCCATCCTCCCTCCCTATCTGAGCACTCTTACACTCTCTTGTGCTGCTTTGAGCACAGGTTCATGAATCTTCCACAGAAGACTGGGGGAGGGTGAGGTGGGGGTGGGGAAGGGATGACCAAAGGGAAGTCTCTGCCCTGTGAGTCAGAATCTCCTGGATTTCTCATGGTTCCCAGCAACTGCTCCCTAATTAGAGGACCCCTTATGAGCTGCTTCTTGACCCCCTGTCTGAGAGGGGTTTCCATGTCCTCTCCTCTCCTCTAGGCCCCTGAGTGAGGATGCTGTGTACATCCTCTTTGGCAAACAGTTCTTTGTCTCTAACCCAACTCCCTCTTGCTGTGATATGAGCTTAAAGTCAATATTTAGAATCCCCAGGTTGTTACTGTCCATATGAAAGAAGAGAAAAGATCACCAAGGTACAGACAATTTTATGCTAGAACACCCTGAGAGGAGCTTCCAGGACTCAGTCCCACACCAAGACAGTTACTTTCAGCATTTCTGGAGGCCAGCCTCTGGTGTGGGGGGGTTCCAATACACCCTGGAAATTTTCCCACAGAAAGGTTTAACCATATGCTATTTTACCCTTGCCTAGTAATGACCATCTCCCAATCCAAATGATCCCCTTCACAGAAAGCTTCTGGAATTTCCCTTGGGCACAGCTCTGGATGGAGAGCATGTGTGGTCTGTGTCCCAAAGGAGGGACAGTCTCTCAGGACTGCCAGTCCAGGAGAGGAACTGCTGAAGGAGGGTGGCACGTGCCTCTTACCTTGGAGTAGGAGGAAGCCGAGGATCGCCCAGCACAACTGCTGTGCTCTGACAGCCCCCATGTCAGCTGGGTCTCTGACGGGCAGGCAGACGTTCCGTGAAGACTCTGTCCATAGTGGAAAAGAGAGAGGGAGTGCTGGGGCGGGGAGGGGGTGGGGGCTGGCTCTCCAGGAGCTTCCTGTCAAAGAATAGAAGGAAACAGATTGGGACTGGCTCCAGGGGCCCTGCTCAGCAGGACAGCCTAGCTGAGGATGTAAGGCCAAAACATCAGTGACTGCGCTCCGGGGCTCCACGTGGCCTGAACTAGGGCCACTGTGGGCTCCTCCAGGGTCTGAGCACAAAGACCAGTGATGTCAACCTGTCCCCCGCAATCCCCCTTGCCCTTCTCCTAGGAGTCCACCAGGTCCCTCCACACACCACCTAGAGTTTTTTCTGGAGTGTAACTCCAATCCCTCCCCATACTGTTTCAGACCATGATTGAGCCCTAAAGCTCAGCCCACCAGCCCTAAAGCTCAGCCCACCAGCCGCCCATGCTCTACAGACTCTGCGTTCTCCACATTCCTTTCCCTCCTCAGGGCTCCCAATGCAGATGAGACTCCCTACATCTTTCATTATTGTTATTCTTAATAGAAACACAAGAGGACCACATTCCAAGCATCCCTCTCTCCAGGCCCTTCCCTTGCAGTGGGGTCAGGTGGTCTCCGTGCTCCAGCAGCACCCTTGTCCTTAATGTCCCATGGTACTCTCTCCTGCAGACACAGGTCAGCATCGTCACTTATTTCAGTATCCCTGGGACCTGGCACAATGCCTGACATATAGCAAATCCTCAGCATATATTTATTGAACTAAACTCAAAAGATTTTCTTTAAACTCAAAAGATTTAAAAGCAGAGAAATGTTACACAAATCCTCTTTAACATAATTATTATTATTATAGATTTCCTTTCAGTCTGTGATAATATGCATATATATATGCAATCATTTTATGATTTGTGTCCTTTTCCTCCTTTATTTTTTATTTTTTAATATTTTATTTTGAAACAATCACAGATGTACAGAAAAGTTGGAAGTATGTTATGCAGAACTTTTTTCCTTGAACCATTGGAGAGTAAATTGCCAACAGAATGCCCCACCATCCCCGAAAACTTTAGTGTGTATTTTCTACAAATAAGAATAGTCTCCTACATAATCACAATACAGCCATCCAAATTAGGGTATTAATTCCATATAATCCTCAGAGTCCATTCAAATTTTGACAATTGTCCCAATAATGTCTTTTATAGCAAAACGGTCCAGTTTAGAAGTTACTCATTGCATGTCTCTTTAGTCTCCTTCAATCTGGAACAGTTCTTTAGTCTTTCCTTGACTTACATGACCTTGACATTTGTAAAGGTTATAGTCCAGTTATTTTGTAGAGTCTCCTTCATCTGGGTTTGTGGGATATTTCCTTGTGATTTGATTTAGGTCATGCATCTTTGGAATGTCACAGAAGCAATGCTGTATGTGTCTGTTTGCATTCTATCAACTGATTTTGATTTGTTCCATTACCAAGGAGGTTCATTTGATCCCTTGCTTAAGGTGGTATCTGCTAATGTATTAGTTTCCTGTGGCTGCATACAAATTACTGTAAACTGGTGACTTAAAAGAACAGAAATGTAATCTCTCACAGCTCTGGAGGCCGGAAGCCAAAATCAAGGTATTGGCAGGGCCACACTCCCTCCAAAGATTCTAGAGAGGATCCATTCCCCCCTACTGGTCGCCGTTGGGCATTTCCTTGGCTTCCTTAGCTTGTAGCTGCATCGCTTCAGCCTCTGTCTCTGTTTTCACATCACCATCTCCTCTGTGTCTTCTTCTCTGTGTGTCTCCTCCAAGGACACTTGTCACTGAATGTAATGCCCATCTCAATAATCCAGGATGCCCTCCTCATCCCAAGATCCTTAACTTAGTTATATCTCAAAGACTCTTTTTCTAAGTAAGGTAACATTCACACAGGTTCTCGAGATTAAGATATGGATCTATCTTTTTGGAGACCACCATTCAACTATAGCCAACTTTCTCCACTTTAAACTTACTCTTTTCCTCTTTGAAATTAATAAGTATTTTAGGGGAAAATACTTTCAAACTATGTGAATATTAGAATCATTTATTCTTTTTTATTTATTTTTATTTTTTATGCCTACAGCACCTGATCTTCCTAGGTGGTCTCCCATTCAAATACTAACTAGGCCCGACTCTGCTTAGCTTCCGAGATCAGATGGAATCGGGCTTATTCAGGGTAGCATGGCTGTAGACAGAATCATTTATTCTTTTGATGCTCAGATCTTCCCCAGTTTGGTCACTGGGAGCCCCTTCAGGCTGGCTTCTGTATCCTTTCGACACATTGAGCACTTCCTTACTTTCCTGGCATAATGAGATGTTTTGGGTTCATCTCTTGCTTTACCTGCCCCAGTCTTGGAAATGCTATTTCTCCAAGGAACCCTAGTTCCTTTTAGTGGCAAATGGTATTGAGAAACTGAGGCCCAAGTGGTGTGCTCTTTGCTACAAGAGGGTAGCTTCTCCAAGGCCCTTCTCTGAAATCTGGCTTCTATTGTCCTTATTTGATCATTTCCCTTATAACCACGTTCCCATCTCTGTTGCCACTCTCGCCTCACAGATGACTTCCACACCCCACTCAGGCTCTGACTGTCCACACTGGGCCATGTCTAACCATATGGATGCCTTTCTTACTCCTTGTGAGCCCCAACACCCTGCTCTGGGCCACTGTGACTCCCCCTACCCCACAGGCACATTGTCTACCTGTTCTGTGTCACCTTTATTACTGAATTATTCCAGAAAGGAAAGGAAGAGGAAGAAGAAACCTTCCCCTTATTTTCAAACCATAAACATTTTCTGCTGGCTCACAGACTTCATAGTGATAATTTTTGATGGTAACTTATATACTATTCTGTGGTCTATTTAATCATCTTTCTGTTTTTGAACATTTAAGCTGCTTCCAGTGTTTCCTTTCATGATTGATTCTGCCGTGAACAGCTATAGGCCTGTCGCATTGTCGTTGCCATTCTAATAGGTGTGTGGCTTTTTTTTTTAAGCAGCTTTATTGAGATATAATTCATATACTGCTATAGGCTGAAGGTTTGTGTCCCTTCAAAATTCATATGTTGAAATCCTAACTGCCAAGATGATGGTATTAGGAAATGGGGCCTTTGGGAGGTGATTAGGTGATTAGGGCAGAGCCCTCACGATTAGGATTTGTGCCCTTAAAGAAGAGGTGGCAGTGAGCCAGCTTGCCCATTCAGCTGTGGGAGGCCACAGTGAGAAGGCGCTATCTGTGAACCAGGAAGTGGGCTCCCATCAGACACCAGATGTACTGGCGCCTTGATCTTAGACTTCCTAGCCTGCAAAACTGTGAGAAATAAATTCCTGTTGTGTATAAGCCACCTAGTTTATGGTATTTTGGTATAGAAGCCCGAATAGACTAAGACACATACTATGTAATTTATGCATTTAAAGTGTACGATTCAGTGGTGTTTAGTATAGTTCAGGGACTTGTGCGATCATCATCACAATTTTAGAATGTTTTCATTACCCCACAAAGAAATCCCACACCCTTTATAGACCTATCTATAGCTTGTAGTAAGAAGGCTGGAAGTAGGATGTGGCTGAGATGGGCAGACCTTGCTCTTGGCTTACTCCCATGACCCAGAGCGTACGATGAGCCCCGGAAGTCAGCCAGCTCTCAGATCTCCCCTATCAGAGCAACCTCCTGCTGGCCTGCTCAGAATGTTCCCCTAAGTTCCTCTGCTGACTCCTAACCCTAGCTGTCTTCAGTGGGGACAGAGTGAGGGAAGAAGGGCTGCTCCTTGCCTTACTTAGGCCAACAGGGCCACTTCCACCTCCCCTGGGGAGTTGAAAAAGAGAAGTGACCCCAGTGTACAGAACTGAGGAATGATGGTGGGGTGGACCCCAGGATCTTTTCATCCTTGGTCCCAGTGCTCGATCTCAAAAGCCAGTACTTTTCTTCTCTGTGAAATAAAAGCAGATTCTTAATCATTTTAGCCCCCTAAATCTAAGAGGCTCCATGACAACAAAAAGCCAAAAAGAGACAGAGGAAGCAAGTCAGTGAACACTCGTCGTGGATCAGAAGTGCCCTCCCCGCAGGTGAAGGGTTCTCCTTACAAGCCTCCAGGACTAAGGATGGGGTGGGCGTGGGGGCTTGTGCAGGTTCCTGTTCTATTCAGCAAACTCTTGTCCAGCACTTGCGTGTATTACCAACACTGTAATAATGCCTTGCTGGGGTTCACAGGCTAGGAAGTAAAATGAGCCTTCGCACACCTACAACAGAACACAAAGTATGACAAATGTCAGGAGTGATGTAGAGACATATTGCTACAGGGTTTAAGGAAAAGAGAAACCTACTTCAGTATAGTGGGCAGAAGAATACATTCCTGGAGGAGGTAACACTAAGTTCAACTTAGGAGTTGAACTCAGCCATGAAAGATGGTTAATGTTTAGATGGTAGGAACGGGGAAGAGCAACTCACAACAGTGGGCGTGGAGATAGGAGAGTGAGAGAAGGCTGGGGCAGTAGTCTGGAAAGTCCAGAAATTCCATTGCTTTATCCTTTTTGAAGACCTTTAGGAGATAGGTCCAGGACTGATGAGGCAGGGAAAGGGAAGAATTAGTCATCAAAAGGATCAGAAATTGGGTTTTTGGACTCAGGGACTAGAGCTCCAGTGATGGTGCTTGTGAGAACAATGGGATGTGTATCTTGAAGAGGCAGGAAGCAAACAGCAGTGGCTGAACCTCTGGACTGTGGCAGAATCCAGACTCCAGCTAAGTGGCCCAGTGTGGGAAGTAGAGAATGACTAGAGCCTTTGATCACATTGGGAGAGGGCCAGCCTCCTAGCTAGCTTTGAGGCCAGCTAGCCATTGGTCTCATTCATTTTGCAGGTCAAGTCAGCAACTCAGTAACCTGGGCTAAAGTAAGCTTGGAGGTCTGAATGGGGTTCCTGAATGTCAGGGTGTGAAGCAGCTTGGCTGAGAGCCAAGGAATCAGGATGGAAC